CGCCAAGGACCAACCCAATTAAATTATATTTTTTAATTTTTATTATAAATTATAAACATAATTGTTGTTATATGCGTAATGCACGATATGTAACGTCATATTATTTTAACTAATTACAAATAATAAAACAGTTTATAAGTAGCTGGTATGCTGTTATACTATTAACTGTAAAATTCTTTTATTAAATTTCACATTATGTTTAATATAATAAAATAATATAATGGGAATAAAATGTTTTCTTTTTCGTATAATTAATTTAATAGTCAATTAATATAGACTATTAATTATTATTGTTGAGCTTAGCGGTGTTTAACTTTGTTTGCCATCGTATAGGTACAACTACCCGTTAGTCAATTTGTATGATTGTTACTTGTTAGAAGAAAAAAAATTATTATCAAATAGGATCTATACATAAAAATGTAAAATTAACGTGTAGAATGAGCTGGTTCCCGTTGTATATTATATGTTGTAAACTTCCTCTGTATAATAGTCATAGTATTATTATATGAACACTTCTATACGGTCTAAAAGAGCGGCCCCTCTGCAATTGTATTCCCCTACCGACGACCGCCCCCGCTAGTAATATAAAATATGAATATATGAATGTAATATTGTAATAATATTAATTTATTTTATATTTTATACATGAACATTATACCGACAACTGTTTGCGTAATTAAGTGCGAAATTCCATAATTCACAATCAACTCGAAAGGCAAACCGACAATTTTAATTGTTTTAAGTTTTAAGTCTTATTAATTATATGAATACGGGTTTTTATAATATATTTATATATTATAATCTAAAATAATTTATATACTACGGAGTACACACTGTACTGACGGCATACTTAACCCATATTATTATAATAATATTAAATACTTTTTTTAGATTCTTAGCTGAGCGATGAATGTATTGATTTTACAATGATTTTACATTTTTTTTTTTTGTGTGTCATCACCTTTTAGGACAATAAAAATGTTTAGATTTTCTTCAACAGTATCTTTTCTGATAGGAAAGTGAATCTAGTTGGTACTTTGAGGGACAAAAGAAAAATTAAGGAAAAAGGGGAATTTTTACTCAAAATCTGTTTTTGAAAAAATTGATTTTGGTTTTCGGTGCACCTCTTAAACAAATGACTGTAAGTACATGATATTTTGACTGAATTTTTATATTAGCATTTTCTATACACCACAAAATTTTCAAAATATTTTTACTTATTTTTAGCTGTTTACGGACATTTTCAGTTTTATTTTTTTTAGTTTTTTATCCTATAAATATCAATAAAATTTTATTTATTGGTTAAAAAATCTTAAAAATTTAATACAAGGCTCCTAGTATATTGTTTCAAAGACAGATAAAAAATATTAAAAATCCAGTCACAATTTTTTTTTTATGAGCATTTAAAGCTCAAATATTGACAAAATACGTAAATTTCATGTAAATGTGCAAATTAATATGAGTTAGAAATTCATAAAAATTTATCTTTTTAAATTTAAGATTTTAAAAAGTAAACAATATTTCTCATAAGTTTGTCTATCTTCATCAAAAAAAAAATGTCTACAGCAAGTTAAATTAAATTTGTATGTGCGTTTGAAGTTCATATTATTACAACATTGGATATTCACTCGATTTCTCATGTAGGTAACAATTTTCTTATTTGTTGTCATTCAAAAACGAATAACTGCAAATACATTAAAATTTCACTGAATGTATATTTTATCAATTCCTATACTTGATAAAATTTTCAAAATATTTTGACTCGTTTTGAGCTGTTTACGGACAATTTCAAATTTCATTTCTTTAGATTTTTCTATAAATATCGATAAAGTTTTAGTTTTTGGGCCAAAAAGAGGAAAAATTTAATACAGGCTCCTGATATATTGTTTTTTTTTTAAATTTATTATATTTTAAATGTGTCAACATATTGCATATTATTACAAGTTTTTTAATACAATTAAGAATTTAATATATTGTTACGATATTAGTTGAAAATATTAAAAATACATAGGCACATTTGAATATTTGATTACCTATAAACAATCTATATCCACATTCAATGAACATAAAATTAAAATTAAATATTCTATGAAGCATTATGTTCGTACAATTAGTGAACAAAGAAGTTGTCTGATTTTTTAAACTATTGAGCAGCCAACCTAGTAAAACTAAAATAAATATTCAGGAATTATAATAGCAGCGGGTGGGCCGCTCAACCTTGTAAGTCGAGTCAGCTATTAAATGCCATGACCCATCAGACCTCGATCACTTCATTAATCTGGAATTGAATTTGAACAGATATTGATTCTGCCAGTTGACATAACTTGGAAATGAGGTAAAACAAAAGTTCATATAAAAATTATGATTGGTCTTATATTTTAATATTATAATAACTATATAATTGGATTTGGTCAGTACGTAAAAATTATTTCCAAAAAGCTGGATGTACATTTTATTGAAATACACTTAACAAAAACATTATTACCTAGGTATTGGGATTCTGAGGCAAAATTAAATCCTAGTAGTCCGAGAGAGGAAAATAGATTCTTTAAATTTGGTCTGATATAGAGGAAAGTGCAGGATAGTTAATTATAGTAGGTATACCGTATAAGTATATATATGAGCTATGATGGTCACATGAAGCATCATCGTAGTTGAGAAGGGTGGGTACAGTATACTACAGTAGAGACTAAAGAGTAGGCACTATGATTGATCCTCAATTTGAATGAGTGGTTGTGAGTTTGTGACTTGTGATTAGGTAGCAGACTATGGCACTATATGGTCAATGCTCATTAAATAGCCTATAATCTAGCCATAATCTAGTGTATGGTAAAATTATTACAGCGTGACTACTGGCTAATCCTTAAGAACTGTAATCATCTTATAAGTTAGTAAAATTTAACAATATTTACAAAAACTTCCAAGAAGACACAGATAATGTTATCAATTTAAAAAACGATTATCAACAATTATCGAAGAGTGTCGCTGTATGCCTGTATATATTGTTGTAGGTACCTATGATCTTCGCAATTATTTACAAATGTCATTGCTATTACATGTTGATTATGTTACATTACTCGATGTATAAGACGGACCAATCAAGACACCTACTTCACCTACTCCAGTTGAATATGTTGTTTCATCATACCTATTTCAGATTTGTTTTTATTTCTTATCTTGTATCTATGTAATATATTATATTATGTATGTTTCTGTATATTATTATTTTTAATTGTAAATACCATAACAACTGTTCTATTATTTTTAATGGGCTTTCCCCATTCAAAGTCAATATTAAAAAATAAAAAATAAAAAATGAAAATAAAATAAAAATAAAATTACTATATTTTGTACATACCACAACATATATTGCTTAAAAATTAAAACCGTAGTAATACCGTGTTTAAGTGTTTTAGTGTTTAACATATTATTTTGTTATATAGTTTTGTTTAATGTATTGACAATGTTAATTTATTAAATTTTAATTAAACTCAACCCATCCGCATTCAAGCTTATTGCTTTTAGGATGAATTTTCAACTTTTGTGTAATGTAATGTAAACTATGTTTTATATAACATGTATACATTTTGTTGTTACTTTAAATTGTAATCTATTATTATTATTATTATAAATATTAGCCGATAATCCATCTATACATATAAGGGCTGACGGATGGTCATATTATTAACATTGAAGATGACACACGTCTGTTATTATAATCATCAGATACCTACCATAAAATTGTATTGTACCCTACACTTATATCATAAAAACTTAAGATTTGTAATAAAAAAAAAAAAAGGCGATAACAGACACAACAAATAAAGTGAAAATACACACATTTATTGTAAGTACAATCAATTTTCTTTGAACTTAAAATGTGTGTATCGTATAAGCATTGTAACAATATATCAGGATGCTAGGAGCCTTATATTAAATTTTTACACTTTTTGGCCCAACAGATAAAATTTTATTGATATTTATAGAAAAAAAAACTAAAATAATTAAAAACTGAAAATGTCCTTAAACAGCTCAAAACATGTAAAAATATTTTGAAAATTTTATCAAGTATAAGAATTGATAGATAAACATACAGTGACATTTTCATGTATCTACAGTTATTCGTTTTTGAATTACAACAAAATAAGGAAATCGCTACATGAGAAATCGAGTGAATATCCAATATTGTAAAAATTTGAATTTCAAACGCTCATCAAAAATTTAATTTGACTTTCTTATAGACATTTTTTTTTTTTGATAAAGGTAGATAATCTTATAAGGAATCTTGTATTACATTTTCAAATCTTAGATTAAAAGAAAAATTTTTACGAATTCTTAACTCAAAATTATTTGCTTATTTTTGTGATTTTTCCATATTTTGTCAATTTTTGAACTTTAAATGCTTATTAAAAGAAACTGTGACTAAGGAATAAGGAAAAAACACACATCATTGTAAAATCAATACATTCATCGTTCCACTAATCCACTCAGAATCTAAAACATTTCAGAGGGGATTAGAGTAACAACCCCATGTTTGAGGTAAAATTCACCATCCATATAAATATATAATAATATGTATAGGTACCTATTCACTGGACACTGTATGGAATTATGGAAACGACAATTGACAACACGACTTTGTAAAAGGGTCAAGCGCGTCACGCAACAAACTCACCCCATCGTCACTGAAAACCGTGATGTGTGTGTGTGTGTAGGGGATGATGGGGGTCGTTTCTTTGTGACTTTATTTCAATTTTCCAAATTCCTTAACGTACAACGACGAATAATCTGCGTTAGGGCACCAATGGGTGATGAAGAAGAGACATGGTCGATACTCGTTTCCCCGACCTGACGCCGAAAAGATAATCAGGGAGACTATTCCATTCTCTCGAGTAGTCGATTCTGGACATGGACGGCGCCACAATAACAATATTCAAATCCATAATAATAATAGGTTACCGGTTACTGGGTATCGTGTCTCAGCGTCGTCGTGTTTACGTTTACATAATATTATTATTATTATCCGCGGTCACGCGACGCGGCTCCAGCGCAAGGTTGTCGACCCCTTCCCGTTGTGCAACATAACCGTGGTTAGGAGCGACAACCACCCGCACCCTACCGCCCACGCATGCGCACGGTCGCACGCACGCGACGTCGGCCACACGGACGGGGGACGACAACACAGTACACACCTCCATCACAGCCGCCGCCACCTGGCGCCGACGATTCCGACTTCCAAGCCCCAATTCAGTGTTCACAGGCCACAGCGTTGTCGTGAGACGTCGATTGTATAGTGCTCTGTTTATTTCGTACGAAATTTCGCGCGCCATTTTTCCCGAACCATTTTATTTCTCTATGACGCCATAAAGACGATTGCATTATGGGCACTCTGGACAAACACTGCACCGGCTACAAAATCGACGACGTGTTCAAGTCCAACGCCCTAGTAGACATCAGGGCTTGCAACAAGCCCGTGGTCAAGGTAATGAATCACGAATGACTATTATAGACCGGCATTAGTTTTGATTAGTTCGCAATTTGTCGTTTTGCTCACCGAATTTAAATTGTTTTCTTTCGACAAACAAAACGAAGACGACGACTGAGGCAAGTTCCTTGGTACCTACCTATGTAGCAGTTCTGTTAGTGCCAAGGTAGTCAGTCGTTAATGTAACGCGCACTTAGCTACTCGAGAGGTCAACTCAGGTTTCTGCACGATCAAACCGATAACAATAATAATATTATTGTCGTAGTTGCTTATATGAGCTCGAAAATAATTTATTCTTTGAGACCAATGCCTGATATTGTTTCAACGTAGGTTTATACAATCATACTTCATAATAAAATGTAGATATAGTTGTATACGATAGTAGGTAAATGGTAGGTTACTTAAGTGTATAATATTTAGTTGGTTGTAAAATGCATTTTGTAGCCTGTAATTTATATAGTGAGAGAGAAAGGACATCGGCTATATATATGTTCAATTATGTTCTTGCATTATTCATGAAAATGTTGTCATGCATCGAGTACCTACCTACCTACCATTATTTTTTATCTTAATGTGAATGTTCTTAGGTATATTGGTACATATTATTGTCATAATAATTTTAATTCATTCAAAAAGTTATAAGAGAGTATTGATTAGATTAGAAGCTATTACTAGTTGACTTGATGATATTTTTTATTTTTCTCCATATTATGAATAGTGTGACTAAATACAGTAGGTAAACCTTTGTTGTAGAATATAGAAGTAATATTATTATTTTTTTTTTTTCAGTTTTGTGTGCTTAAATTTTTTCTAGTGTTTTGTTTTTGAAATGCATGAATTCCAGATATTATTTTAACAGCATACTATCAAGATGACAAATAATACGGTACAATTTAATATAATGTTATTCATTTTATTTCAAATGTTTTATAAAGTTCAAAATTGTCATTACCTTTATATTTAACAGTCATTATTCCGCGGAGTACGTAGTTCAAAGTTTCGTCATGTATACGGATCCCCGTCCAGGCGAGAAGAATTGTATGACAATATACCAATCACACGTAATGCTCATGATTCTAATTTTTGTGCTGCCAACCCAAAATTTGTCGCCATTGTGACTGAAGTAGCTGGTGGTGGAGCATTTGTAGTACTACCAATCAATAAGGTAATAATATTAATCGGAATAATGTTATGTAAGTAATTTCTCTTGCTTGTTTGGATTTAGACTGGTCGTTTAGATTTAAATACGAGCAAAGTTACTGGCCATAGAGGTCCAGTTTTGGATGTAAAATGGAATCCATTCAATGATAACATAATTGCTTCTTGTTCTGATGATTGTACTGTAAGTCATGTGTATTGTGTATCATACAAATTGCTTTTATTTATTCAAAATGCAAAAATCTAATTTTCAAATTTCAAATTTTTTTTTTTATAGATTAAATTGTGGTATATCCCAGACAGTGGTCTAAGTTGCAACTTGAATGAATGGCTGATAGAGTTACGTGGACATCGTCGCAGAGTGGGTTACATTGAATGGCATCCAACTGCAGAAAATGTCATAGCTAGCTCTGGTTTTGATTACATGGTAACAAAGAAATGTTTATAATATTTATATTAGTTGTCATTATATTGTGCGGCTGCGACTCTTACTATTGGCCACCCCTGCTATATTTTATGCAGGATATATTATTATATATAACATAAATAAATGTTATACTTTAACATTTTGTAAGTTTTCGCTACTTTTTTGTGTCTATTTTATTTGTTTTATTATATAAAAAAAAAAAAACTATAAAAAAAAATTAATGGAAATCTAAAATACTTATTATATGCCATTAGTGTATCCAATAAGAATATTGATGAATACAAAAATGATCCCTATTTTTAATCTTAACTATTCCTATTTACAATATAATAGGTTATGTTATGGGATGCGGGAACTGGTCAAATTTTAAATACAATTGATTGCCATCCAGACATTGTGCATTCATTAGCATTCAATAGAGATGGAACCAGATTAGCAACAACTTGCAAAGACAAAAAAATTAGATCAATTGATCCTAGATCTGGATTAGTAGTTTCAGTAAGTAAATATATTATATTCTTTCAATAAAAATATACATATTAATTAATCATGTCACCTAATTAGTTTGATATTATTTAGGAGGGAATTTGTCATGAAGGTTCACGTTCGTGCAAGGTAATTTATTTAGATAATGAACGGTTATTGACTACAGGTTTTTCAACATACTCCGACAGGCAGATAGCTATTTGGAATCATACTGATTTATCAGAACCGTTGCATCGTGTCAATATTGATTCATCGTCAGGAATCTTATTCCCATACTATGACTATGACACAAGAATGGTTTACTTAGCTGGAAAAGTTAGTTTGGATATAGCTTTATTTCAATATAATTATTATTTATTTTGTTTGACTGACCTATTAATTGATCAAAATATGTGTGTTATTTTAGGGAGATGGCAATATAAGATATTATGAAATAGTTGATGAATCACCATATATACATTTTTTAAATCAATTTATATCCGGTTGCCCACAGGTTGGTTAAAATTTAAGTTTAAAAGAATGTTAACTGTAGCATTTTATATTTATTTTAAAAATTAAAATTATATATAATTGTTTTGTTTTTAGAAAGGATTTGGAATGATGCTTAAACGTGGCTGTAGTGTGAGTCGTTGTGAAATTATGCGATTTTATAAATTACATACTACTCGTAATGTTTGTGAACCAATTTCAATGATTGTTCCAAGAAAGGTTAGAAAATAATATAAATATAGAATTTTTGAAGTAAAACTTCTTTTTTGAGGTGTGGGTAGAAAATGAATCGTAACAAAAAATGAAACGATACGTTTGTTTATTTATTTATTTTTCAAGTCATGCACGGTGGCGGCGGCGCGCACATTTATTTTTATTGTATTGATTTTTCTCCCTCTCCTCCTAATTCACTTATAATTTCACTGGCCCCAATACTTATGAAAGAAGTTTTACTTCCCCAGAGTGTAATGTTGGGCTCACCACTCATTATTTTTTTTTAAATACTAAATCTTTCAGATGTCTAATATATATTTTATTTATATTTATTATGTACTTAATGAATGATTTTTAGTGACATGCAAAAAAAAAAAATACTTTAGAAAACCTCACAAGCACCATAAGAACCTAAGAATATAAAACTATTAACTTATATCAATAATTACTTTAAAATAAAATGCAATCAAAATATGTAGGAAAAACTAATTGTATTAAATATATTTTATAAGATATTTTTTACACATTTGTGGAGTTATAAGTGTTACTTATTTTTATATTAATTAAATTCTAAATTAAATATTGTTTAAAGAGAAATTGATATCTTATGTATCATATGGAACTGTAATATAATATATTTCCTTTTGTCAGTGACACTAGAGCTATCCTATTTATTTTTTTATATAATTTGATTTATTTCTGCAATTTTCAATACAAATGTTGATATTGTCATTGATTATGAATAGTATTAGTATTCATGATCAACAATATTATTAAAAATTGAAAGAATATAAAGAACATAATATTTTATTACTTTTTATTATGATTTATTTTAGAGTGACCAGTATCAACATGACCTGTATCCTGATACGGCTGCTCCAGTACCAGCATTGAGTGCCCAAGAATGGTTTAATGGAATCAGCAAACCACCAGTTTTAATGTCAATGAAAACAGGTACATAATTGCTCTCTTGCTTTCTTGAGTAAACAATTATTGTCTTCTTATTCATTGGTCTTATGTATAATATATAAATAGGGGTTTCAGTGAAAACACACAAGCCTCAAGCATTTGTTTCCAATGAAGCTACCCGCAATGACACCAATTATCGTATGAAATTTGCCTTCCTCTCCAAGGAAACAGTGCCTGATTATCGACCACTAGATGTAAGCATAACCAATTCAGTTTTGTTGATTTACGATTAATTGACCTAACAATATAACTCTTTTAATTGTACAGATGTTGCCTGAGATTGAAAAAATCCAAAAGACTCAAGTTAATCAAAATACGAGATTTCAACAAATACAGCAGAAATTGAATAATTCATTAGTAGGAAAATTCACTAACATGGTAAGTTTAAAAATTAATATATATTATGTAAGTTTAATAGTGGTATAAAGTATTATTGGTTATTTTCTGAGTAACATTTAGTGTATTGACTTCAATTGTCACATTGTTGTTTTATTAATGTTTAATTTTGACAATAATAAATTGTAGACTGATGGAGATGAAGAATGCAATAATATGAAGGAAAACTCAAATTACAACGATAATTTAAAAAATGAATATCAAGTTGGTGTTTATATTAAATATCTATTTGGGGAACAAATGCAAATACTAAGTTCCCAAGCAATGTTTTGAATTTCTTAGTGTTTATCTCTATAAAAAAAAATAGATAATGTTATGAAATAATTTTTTAAGTTGAAGTAGTTACTACTTGCCATTGATTAAAAGTACTTGCTATCAGTTACAAGTACTCTCTATCTTTTTTTTGTTTTAAAAACATGAATATTTAAAGTTTTTTGTGCATAATTATATCATCTTTAAAGCTACTTTCAGACATAAAAATGAACTTGAGTTATAAAAAGAATTTTTATATGAAAATGACTTTCATTCATAATGATTTCAAATATGAGAAGTATTTTATGATTTTATAGAAAACATATTTTTAATAACGCCATCAAATACAGTGGAACCCTGATAAGTTGAAAAATCTTAATAAGTAGACATAAATGCGTTCCCTTGCTTGATCCAACCTAACCTTAGTAAGTTGAAAATCTCAAATAAATGAAAAAATTTAATTTCCTTTGAATTTTGACTTATCAAGGACCCACTGTATTTAAACATTTGAAGTAATAAATTTAAATTTCTACATTTTCAATCTAAATCAAAAATTATATTTTCTGTGATTTATTATATTTATACTATTTCATAATAATGGATTTTAACTAAGTTAACAAATATTTGCTAGGAGATTATTTGCATTTATGACCCATTTTGTTTTTATACAAAGACTGATGAAATAAATAAAAATATTATTTTGAAACTGTAATTATAGATGAAAAAAGCTTTCACTCGTCAATGTGAAGAACTAAACATGCTCAGAAAGCAATTGGCCCACAGAGATCGGCGTATTCAAGACCTCGAAGATCTCGTTTCCACACTTCAATCGCAGCTTAAAGTTCAAAGATTACAGTAATGAGTAGATTATTACCTGGTGCAATTTTATCTCTATATATATATTTTTTAATACTTTTGAGCTTATGCCTTTTGGCTAAAAGTATGGCCCAAAGATATGAAACCTAATTGAGTAATTATCAATCAAATAAGCTTTGAGCTGCAATTGTTTTTAAACTAAGAACCAAATTCAGGGTTGAGACTAAATGTCTGGAGAAAAAAAATACAATTCTTTTTTGCACCCTGTTACTTTTGTGATCAAATAATAATTTTGTAATTTTGCATTAATGTGTTTGCATAACCTATAATTTTTTTTAAAATTAGGTTACTATTTGACATTTATATATTTCTGTTAAACGATGTATGTTTTTGCTGGTAAATGAATGTAGTTATTTTTTATTGCGACATAAAATGCAAAGAAATTGAGGTGTCATATCGCATAAGAAAATGTGTTTCTTAAAAATAAAATGTATAAAAGAGAGTGTTAATGTGAAATCTGATTGATTGTATATTTTAAGTCTAAAAAAATCAATCAATATTATATATTTATACTCGGAAGTAAGAAACGCAAACGGCGTTAAGACTTGTGCACAGTGCCTTGGCAATACTAGAAGACAGGTATATAGATTGGTGATTTGTTAAGCGGAGGAGTGATAGACGGGTGTTAACTGAATGCCGCCGATAAAAACAGGTCGCCGCCGTTTGCGTTTCTTATTTCGATCAGAGTACCTAAAGTTTTATTATTTAGTAATTTTAAAAGACTTTGGTTAAACTTTAAGAACAATTATTATTAATTTACTAGCAGCTCAATATTTTGAGAAATATCCTTGCGTTTTGGTGACTGTTAACAAAAATCAAATCATAGTGGCATATATATCATATGTTTTGTTTTATTATATTATTTGAGGAAAAAACAATAATTATAATTTACTGTGACGTTAAACTTAAGATTTATTTTCTCTATGCAAGATGTCCTCTTAATCATTTTGATTAATGTCAAACACAATTATTTTATATCACATTGACCAACAAATTAATTATTTAATATAGACTGAACAAATAAAAAACAAATGCTCCAATAATTACAATAATGTTAGTACTATACAGAAATCTAAGTATATAATATAAGCTTATGTATTATATTATATTTAAATTTGTCTTACAATGCTACAAACTATATAAGGTTTATTCTGTTAACGCTTTAATGAGATTTTCACTGCTTGTGTTTTGTGTTTTAGAAAGATATAGAGATTAATTTCAGATAGATTCATGTTTCTTACAGAAAATTCTGTTTTTAATATAATATATTTAATATTACATAAATTTTATATCATGTTGTTTGAATTGTAATAAGTCTATAAAACTATATAATATGTACAGTCAGGTTAGGCAAAATAACTGCCAATGTATTTCACATGATATCATTATATGAAACTGATTGTCACATTTAAAAAATATATTTTTTAAGTTCTGCAACAACTTTAAACCATATTTGATATTATATGTCTTAATAAATGTGTATTTTTTTTACAAACATGAAATTTAGTCTCACCTGACTCGCTATTAAATGTTGTCTTATGTCATTATTTATTTTTGTGAAATGTAATGTAACTGTTACATGAGCTTAGTACAGCGGATTGATTTAAGTATACCTAAGTTTAATATAATATTGTGCTTTAATTTTTTTTTTTTTCATGCGGTTTTAGATGTTTATAAATAGATAAAATAATTTATCGATACAATTTGTTTGAAAGTTAATTGGTAATTAAAATTCTAATAGTTAATATTTTTATAAATTGTCTGATATAATCAACTTCCGTTGACGGTTCACCTCTTAATATCGATCATTGTCCAATTCCTTCAATAGAAGTTCTATGGACATTTTACTGTACCTCTAAAACCGCACTAAAACAAGTGATGGGGATGTGCATATTTTATTTTATGATTAAATTATTAAGTTTTTTGGTTTGACAATTATTAAGTTTTATTTTTATTATTTCGCCTATATAAGATGAAGACATACACTTTTGTCGTATAACAGTGTGTTCATACAGTCCATTAATGTTTTCTTGTATAACAATTGAATTTGATGTGATTAATAATCCATTTTTATATGCGCTCTACAAAACAGCTAGTATCTAAGGACGTTAACACATTATATTGGCAAGTTTTAATTTTTGTATTATATTAAAATATGTTCAATGTTGTACTCACATTTCCATCAATTTAATATAAGCTTTGAACAAATAAATAGAGTTTGTACCTGTATTTGATGTTTTGCTACTATAACCTACATTTTTTTTTTTTACATTTATATTTAAATATTACATTAAACATTAATATATATTTTTCATTTTTGCTTATATAGTTATAAATATATATGTAAAACATAAATATGTGTATGCCGTATTGTTATTTCCCACTACAAATTCTATTCCTTTGGTATCAAACTACATGCCCGAAAAAGAGATTGTGGACAATCCAAGAATCTTTCCTCTACCCAAATTACAACATATTTATTTTTCACTTCTATGATTGTATGTAAAAATTATTTGTACAATATGAATATGAACATCAATCATCATTATCATTTTTCAGAACTCTTACTATTAAATTTTATATTGATTATTTTTATAGGTTTTCATTTTCAAAAAAGTTAACTTTTATGTTCAAATGTTCTAATTTACCCTTTAGTGTTATAAATATGGAATAATAATACAAAAAAAAATAGTTTAGCGATTGAATATTATACATAAAAATTGAGTTTCAGGAACATTGTGTAGTTACAAAGCACTGGTAAATGAGTACATTCAAATCAGCTTGAATCAGTTCTTGGCCAACGATAAAGCCCGATAGATTAACTTTAACATACTATTATGCGCAATCATAAATTGAAAATCTAGCATTAAAGTTTATACAGGTTATAGCATAATATAATTCCAGTATTATAATTAGACTGGAATTCTACTATGCATTTGTATGTTTATTTAACCAAAAGGGTTCTCAACTTGGAAAAAATATTTTTAAATAAGTTTGTTTGTAACACATCTGTGCAGAATACAAATGTCAAATTGTATAATACAATCTACTTTAAAATAAATACTGTGTGCATTGATACAAAAAAAAAATATTTATTTAATTAAGTACACATTTTTCAATGTTTACAAGTGCATAGCACTCTGAATGGTTTTGTGCATATTTTGTCATTTTGACTTAACAATTTTGCATCATATTTAGCACTTCCTTAGATCATTTATTCCAAACTCTATTTTTTATAACACATTATTTAATGAAGCTCCAGAATCAAAGAAATCGAGGTGATAAATATTCTTTTAGATAAAACAAAAATTGTGATTCAGGAAAATGAGAATTATTGTTAACTAACAAGTGTTCTGCAACAATAAACAGGAAAAAGAATTTCAATGGAAAACCATTTCAGTCCACAATTTTATGTGGTAACTAACCATGGTTACTAGTGCTTAAAAATAAATAGAATTAACACCAAAATAATATTTTTTATACTTTTGAAAAATTTATTTAAATATATTTTCAAAGTATTCCTTACAATACTGGGTAATGGCGAGGATTTGAAACAGAAAATAAATATCAAATACTTTAATACTGAATTATTTTTTAGACGGAAATTGTATTTATTGTTATTACATTATTAAGTTCACAAAATTGACATTACTGCGGTGTTTGAGGTATACATAAATAATAATGTTGTACTGACAAAAAATTCAGTGGGTTAAACGCTAAGTCTAAAACATAAAAAATAAGTGGCAAATAAAGGTTTAATGAAATTTTTTTTTTAAACTTAGGGTTCAAGAAACAAGTTTTGAACAGAAACAATAAATAAAAACACAGAGTGTTAATATTAAGGTTAATTTAAAATTAAGCTGTGTAACAGTATATGATAAACAGATGTTAATGTTATGTAGTTAAATTAATAAAACACTAATCGTAAGTATTAAAAAAATATATCACTTGATTTGAGGGGCGTATTTGTTCATACATACATATTATGGTGATGACAATGATAATGATAATGAAAAACAGTGTAAATCGCCAATGTACTCATATATATATAAGTACAAGTGATAAGTTGTTTAAAATGTAAATTAAAATAAAAATACAAACAAAATGTTGCAATCTGTACGAGTTATTAATTATTAGTCTAAATAAGATACTTAATTTGAAATTGGCTTTTCGAAAATGAAAAACATATATCTAACAGTGCACATTCAAGGAAGATCATTTTCTATTTTTTTCTTTTGTTTTTGGTGCGTTGCCGAGGAATGTCAGTTGTGGTTCCAAATTCACCATTGGTAGCAGAACCCGGCACTGGATGTTGATAAAATGAACTCAAGAATTCGTCTAGGTGTGGTTGATGAAAACTGCAAGTAAAAAAAATTATAGTTCGGTCATTAAACAGTCCATCAGGTTTATTCTGTGATACATACTCAAATAAGGGCGTGGAAGGTGGTGGCGGTGCTTGTGTTCTGGGTTGTGGAGGTGGTGATGGGGAAACCGTTGGCTCGGGAGTTTGTTGTTTGCCACCAAATATTATTCTGTACTGTACAGAATGAGTATCTGCTCGCATGTGTTTCAGACTGCCGTGCTGACAAGTGGCCCACTCAGTGATGTCATATACTCCACCGTCCATACATCCAAAGTACTTCCAGCGCAAACCAAACATACTGCTTTCAGACCAAATATCACCATCACGAGCGGAATGATGCACATTGCACAATGCACAGAAGCGTGCAGCATACATTGGCCGACACAACACCAATTTCCTTTTGTGCCGTTTACCACAGCTAGTACACCTGAAAAAAACATAATTCATCAACTAACACAAGAATACTGCATCAATTATAACAAAAAAATATTTAATCTAATACAATTTTATAAATAAATTTAACTATAAAAAAATAGAATAAAATTAATGGAATTTACTTTTAAACTTTGATAAAATGTAAGTTTAATGAATCTTAGAATACCTTCTACCTATAATTAATTTTTGATAAATGTTATTGTCTCAAATACCTAATTGTATTTGCAACTTGTGCCATTTTTTCATGAAGATTTTTCAACAATTTGTTTAGTTCATCGTAGTTTTCTTTAATGTGCTCAATACCACTATCATAGAGTTTACGTTTCTCCTACAAACATAAAAGAATAAATATGATTAATAAAGCACAAAATAAAAATTTTTTTTTCAACGCAGTCAATAAATAAAAACAACTCACTGGATCACCTATCATGTTGAAAGCATGAATTAAAATTTTAAAAGCTTCTTCAGCTCCTGACTGATTGTTTTTGTCTGGATGAACAAGAACAGCTTGTCTCTTGTAATACTTTTTGATATCATCTTCGGATGAATCAACAGTCACACCCAAAATACTAAAGTACATATTATTTTTTTAATGTAAAAATTATTTTATCACATGATATTTCTGAAATAATTTTTTTTTTAGATTGCCGAATTTACCTGTACGGATCTTTTCCTTTGCAAGCAAGTAGCCTTTTAAGTGCTTCTTCACCAGTAGTAGGCAGTGGAATATTTGTTTGCAGAGTGTTACCCGAATTCTGATCTTTCCATTTGACTCGAGCCCAGTGTGATGCACCTGTAAACGGAGAGCTCAATCCAATCCAAAAATGCTTCCAGCAATTCTTACTAAAATCGACCAATTGAGTAATACCTGATGCAGACCTGTATAATAAATAAAAATATATAATATTTATTCTCGGATATTAAATAAATGTATTTTTTAGTAAATGGCCACTTATAAAAATTCAGAATGCGGATACTTAGTTCGGCAAAGTTAAAAATGTAGACTGAAAAATAGTTTGTATGATTGAGACAAAATAATATAGATTAAACATAAAAAAATCCATTAATTTGGTTTTGTTTTTATTTATTAAAATAATCTCATGTTTGGGTGTTCAAAATTACTACTCTTTTGTTTCACTTTTAATTTTAATTTTATTTATGAAATAGGGTTACTGAACATCCCTGTTTTACCAGGACTGCACGGATTTTTAATATAGCCCCCCCTCCCACAACTGAGTCCCAATTTAAGTGTTTTGGGATGAAGAATAATATTGTATGATGATTTATAAATTATTCAAGTTGAATACTTGATTAAGTGATGAAACCTGTATTAAAATTATTTCCATAACTTAGTGACAATTACGTTTCAGTAACTAACTACGTTTATAGTTTTCCCATTCACTCACAAAAATGTTTGTTATCACTTAAAGCCAATTGATAATTCTGTCTGTTACTCATTCTTATTTGTAACATTGAGTTAGCTTTTAACTTATAAACGTTTGTTGTAAAATGCTAACAATTATATGTGATTTTCCAGTTAAAAAAAAAAAGTTAAAACTGGTGTGGTTGACTGTAAAGTTGTTGAGTATCCCATAAAAACTTATATGCTTCTGCCCATGAGAGATGATCCTCGTTTTGCGCATGCAGACTGCGGGCATTCCCCCACTTTGTGCCATTAGTGAAGGTCAAATATGTGGCGATGAGCGGAATCGGACGAGTTTTTGTCGGGTGACGGGATACTCTCTCGTGGGCCGCAGTATACAAATAAATGTGGTCTTTGTTTAACTATTGTAACCCTATTTATGAATGAACAAATAACTTTAAATCTATAAAATTTATAATTTTATAATTTTAATTGACTTAGTTTCATATTTTTACCTACTATATTAAATTAGTACAAACAGTTCAGAATAGGTTAAGTGTTCTGTAGTTTATTTTTTACCATACTATACAAAATACCGGCATTCTTCATATTTTTAATAGAAGATCGTACAAAGTGACTAAAAAACTGATTTTAGGACTTAATAGTAGTTAACTTACAAATGTAAAAGTAAATGTAAGCTCATGGTGATAACGTCCCATAATAGATGAACAAACCAGAAGACCATTAATGGAGCATATTGAACAAACTGGGCTTTTAAAAAGTTCAAATGTTTCGTTACTGAAAATATGAACATGATTAGTTTTAATATAGCCAAACATTGTTGTATCTAATTTAACATACTCATTGTGTTGATGGCAGAGCTACGTGGTCGCTTCTTGGTTACACGTTGATATCTTGCTTTGAATGGTAGTGCTGTGAATGTTGCAGTACTACGAGAACCCTGATTTTTACTAGTTGCTGCAGTCTGTTGTAGTTGGGATACATTTGAAGACATTTTGGTTGAAGGTTTTTCAATTTCATCAAATTTTGTTGTTGAATTAACATCTATAGAAAAATGTTTTAAATACAAATTCATAATCGAAAACAATTAAAAAAATATTAACATACTATTTGATTCGTTATGCTTTTTTGAGTCATTATTCAACTTGTCTTTTTTAACACCAATCACACAACTTGGTTGAACAGTTTTTTTGGACTTGAGTTTTTCAACATCATCTTTAAGAGGCTTTGCGATATGACCTGTAAAAAAGAACAATTTTACAAGATTTGATATGAAAAATACCATATATTTTTAATTTACCTAAGCTTTTTGACAATGGAATAGTTGCTGCCTTAGGTTTAACTTTCGTTTTATCTTTCTTATTATTTTCTTTAGACTTTGGAACCAAAATATTACTATAAGCATTTTCATCAGCTTCAAAATATTCTGATCCGTTCAAGTCTTCAGATGATGTCCACACCTTTTCATTGCCGTTGATTGTTATTTCAGACTTTTTATCTTCTTTATATTCTACTGTTGGAGTGTTGCGCTCTTCACTACTTGCAGACGAATTTTGTCTTCTTAACCCAGATTCTCCTTGACCCACCTTAGCTGAATTCTTCTTTTTCTTGACAGTTGTTTTTACTTTAGATGAAGTTTTAACATCTAAAGATGTTTCTACTTGTGTACTAGCTGCAGTCTTTTTTACTGGTTCTACAGCAGGAGACTTGGCTAAAACATCGGAATAACTTGGTCGCATTGGACGCACTTCTGCTACCATTCTAACCTTTCTAACTGGTGTGGTAATATTTTTGTGGTTAGATATTGTGTTATGGTTAAGACCATTAATATCTTGTTCAGGAATAATTTCTCTTGGTGTCTGAAATGCTTGATCTCCAAAAGGGCTAAATACCCTACCATTGCTTTGAGTTTGGCTCCAACTTTGAACGAGGTTTTCAATGAGGGCATCATTACACGGTGCATCAAAAAGACCATATGTAGGGGTCTGGTATGACATGGGATGAGAAGTATATTGTGACTGTTGATAGTATGTATAGTTCATTGGTTGCTGCTGCTGAGAGGTTTGTTGGTGTTGTGGTCGTTGTTGTTGTTGTTGTTGTTGCTGTTGATGTTGTTGTTGTTGCTGTTGCTGCTGCTGCTGCTGCTGTTGATGGTGCTGAAGATGATGAGGATGATGCTGTTGTGGATATACTTGATGATCATAGTTAACATATCCTGGTATTGAATTCTGAGGTTGCATATATTGAGTATACTGATTAGTATTTAATATGTATGGGTTGTTGTTGGTCAAATTCATCGGTTCTTGATTATAAATATTATGTTGTGGCTGAGGAGGATTTGCATAGTTGTTCACTTGCTGCCACATCATATCAGTCGATTGTCTCGGGTTACCCAAGACCATATAACGACCTTCATAACTTTGAAGATCTGATGTTATGTTGTTTATAATATCGTCAATGGAACGTTTTTTCACCGAAGATTGATGATGGCCCTGGTTATCCATATTCTTCATTCATGAAAAAAATAATATATTAATGATAAGTATAACTTATAATAAAATTAGTAATATATCATAGCCATTAATTAGTTATTTTAACTATAATTATTCAAAGCAGATTAATATACCTATGGCTAAATAAAAATAAAATCAATAAAAGTCAGTACCTGTGGTACTTAATGATAATAAAATATGTATATCCATTAAGTAAACATGAAATATGATTGACAGGTCTATCTGAAAAATATAGGTAGCTGACGTCAAGCTTTTTACAATTATACTCTAATTTATAACTACTACTTTGTTTATCTTGTTAATTTAATAATTGAAGATGAAAAATTCAAAATCAACAAATGAATAGATTACTATGGTTAAAGAATTTGTATAAGAGTTTGAGCCAAGTCAAAAATAGTACAGATGTCATTGCATTAATATCATTAATATCTTTTTCATTGCAGATATAAAAATTAAAATGTAAAATATTATTTTTATTTATACTAAATCTACCGAGTAAAGACATAAAAATAAAAATAAACAAATTGTAAAATTCAAAAAAATGATAGATAGGTTTGTGAATATTTTTCTTTTATAGTGTTGTTATTGAGTTATTTGTTTAGGAAAAATAATTATCAATGAACAACGGAAAAACATTTATAGTTCAAAGTTTGAATTTAATAATAATGTTACCAATAGATATCTATGTACAATCTATTTCACAATAGGTAATACTCAAGGATGTTTTTTAACTAGAAAACAATTAAAGTAGGTAAAAGAAAAATTCTAAGATAATAATACATTTCAAGTATTAAATAGATAGGTTTAATAACCTACTTTAAAGACAAATATTTAATATTTAAAATAATTATAATATTATATGCAAATGACAAGAACAAAATAAAGATTATTATTTTAATATAACACTAAACTCATACTATGATGAACCATTATAGACCATAGTTCAATGATGTATACAATTTTTTGAAAAGGTATCTAGACCGATCCAATTGGTTAAAAACAATGGTAAATGTCCGCTCTAAGAAAACAGAAGAATTATATGAAATTCTATTGATTGCAGATTGGTACTGACTTTGCTTAATCTAACGGCCAGCACATCTTAAGATGGTATACATATTATAAAACAATAAATTAATCATAGGTACCAAAGTACCTACACAATGAAATTAAATAGAATCTACAACATTCTAGTAGAATTCAAATTAGACTGTCTTATTGAGGATATAATATAATATTATGCTGCTGCGGGGTGGTAGACTGGTGACAATTACACAACAGCCATTGAAAGGAGACCTTTCGCTGCAACTTCAGAGGTGGGGGCAAAAATCGCAAATAAGATGAAATATCGAAAAAATCATCGAACCGAAGATGACGAACAGATTTAACAGAACCCTAATGATCTACCCCATGGACTGACCACAGACGAACGACAATACTCCACCGACAGCCCGATTTTTTTTTTATTATTATCCTTTGCACTTCCGTTATTGATAAGAAAAGAGCGGATGTGACGGTCATCAAACAGACCACCTATAGGTACTATATAGGTATTACTACTCACTAGGATTGTTCTCGGCTGTGGCGGTATGTATAGCGTTGCAGCTGGCCGGTCGTCGTCCGAATATTATTTACATATTTTTCGGCGGAGACGAAACGCGGACGACAAACGGGAAAGCGTTTTACTATGCGTCGATCTTATGGAAATGGACGGGACGCGGCAGGCAGGAATCGACCAGCCGGCGCATCGTCCGGGCCGAGTGAAAATCGGTGGAAAAAATTAATTCGTATGTATAAAAAAACGAGTTAAAAAACTTCGGATACACACACACACACACACACGCGAGAGCGCGCGCACACACACGCAATTAGTGTGGTAAAATCAAAACAATGGTGTCGGCCATGTTTGCGATTTCGCACGGGTCATGTGCACGGCGAGTCATCGATGAGATCCCCCCACCACCGCCGCTTGATAGCGAAGAACGCGACCCGAGAGCAGGCAGCAGCTGCTGCTGCTGCGCGCGCGCCCGGTATTACCGTACGCGGCGCCGTGTACCATAATTATCGTACGCGGTCTTAGCGATGACGTTCTCTCGTTGTCATATTATTATCGTTCGTCCGACGACAACAATATTGTAATATTAATATTGTTGCTTTAATAAATAATCGAAGGATGTAGTAGACCAAAACACACGACGACACGTCATCGAGGTACTCGGCAACTCGTCAACAACGACGACAATATCGTTTTTAACGTGGACCTGATCAGCCATCGACGACGTGTATCGTCCACCGATAGACTTTTTAGTTGTTACCTGAATTGTGGTCGAAATCGTAGCGTTGGCTGTTGGCCACCGGTCGGTCGTTTTTTATCATTTCGTCGTTCCTTTCATGTAGTTACCTGTTTTGCTTTTAGAGGTTATGGTTTTGAGCGCTCAAGTACCATGGCGACGGCAGCTGCTGTGGTTGTACTTTGTACTGAATTGTTGTAGTAGTAGTGCAGCACGTACGTTTTGTCACCTAATCTAGTCGATCTAAGGAGAAATACGCACATGCCGACAAATAGATATTTTACGTAAAACAATTGATTGCAAATAAATGGTGTCTCAAAAAAAAATATGAGTTCAATTTGGATCGGTGGATTTTTATTTTTTATTTTTATACCATAAGTGGATACTGAAACAAGCGGACATTTCGATACCTATACCGGCTATACCTACCTAAATGTTTAGTTAGATTGTTAGAAACCCACCTTAGCAAACCCCTATTAGTTAATCTCATGATAAAGATATTAAGAGTTAATACCAAATAGTTATTAATAAGTAATAACTTTATAGTGTATTGGAATAAAGGAGAACTAACACAATAAATTGCATTAATTTTGTAGATATATTAGATACCAATTATTTAGATTTTAAAATGAAAACTGTTTATTCTATTATTAATTATTTGATTTTTTTAGTACTTTCGAGTTGGTTAAATTTTCTTAATAGTTTAGTCATACCTAAATATTATGTTTCTATGGTAGTTTTTAATTATTCTACCTACCAAGAAATTTATTAAGACATAATAATATATTAAATATTAATATGCTGCACTCGGTCGGCAACAGGTAGGTACGAAATTTGAGGTATTTTAATTTTTAAGAGATATAAAACTCGTATAATTATTTCACGACTGCTAACGGTTATTATATTAGGCTTAAAACTATATTGACGAAAAAACTAATTGAAACTTCATGTTCGAGTGGATTATTATTTATTATTATAGCACTATAATGTTTATTGCCTAATGCCTATAAAACGGAAAGCCGAGACAAGAAACTTCCTGTTTTCTGTTTGTCACGAGTTCTGTACTAATGAAGTGTATTATATTATTAATTATTTTGTAGGTATACAATAATTTCTAATAATTTCATTCAATTTTTTTTCTGTTATTTCTCAATACCTAGTCATTGTTTAAAAACGGTCGTTGTTACACTTCTATCAAGGTGAACATTTATTTTATTTAATATCCATATTATTACATGACATACGTCAGGGTATGGTGTTAATAGCGTTAACCGAGATTTGCGCTTGATTTCCACAGGTTTCCACGGGTTTCCTATTTTTTTTTTAATTCGGATCAGTCAACGGAATTGTTGTGACTTGTGACTTACATAAATTAATTATATTAACAACTGATATAATTATACTACTTAGTACTTTAGAGTTTAGAATCAATAAGTACCTGCAGTATTTTATTTTCGACGTGAAATGAACAACTGCAATAACCTAGGTAGGTAATATAATATTCCTTCATTTACTTCGCTTTCGGACAATCTCCGATCTCGTAAACGATATTATTTATATTTGCACAACCATAAAAAACCAAATAAGGGAAATAACAGTCTACGAGAACAGTGCTCTAACTTCCTAGTTCCTATAAACGTAATTTATGAATAGGTATCAAATTATAAATGCAACAAATATAATTTATGCATATGCTATAATTTTGGTATTGCCTAATCAGATTAAAAGCACATGTTATTTATATTATACTTCAAATATTAACAACCAATAATAATAATTATTATTATATGACATAACAGCTGTTATTTGAAATACATAATTACATAAGTATAATATTTTTATATATTTAAACTTTTTTTTTTAAGTATATATGCATCAAAGCATTATTTGGTTAAAAGCATAAAGTTTTATAATAACGCGCATTTCATTATTTTAATAAGACAAGGTACCTAGCAAATTATCAATAATGATTTTTGTTTAGAATTAAATAAGTCTGATAGTAGATAATGTCTTTGATACCTAAAAATATTACTTATAAAATCATCAATTATATATAGTCATATAGATGGTGAATTGGTGAGCACTTGGTGAAATAGAATGATACTACTACCACATGAACATAAATGGTTCGTATATAACTATAAAACAAATATCTGTAGAATTTTAAAATTATTGCTAATTATTGACATTGATTTCTAAATTTTTTAACTCTCAAGAAACACCAAGTATACGGATATATATAGAAATCTTATCATGGATTCTGACCGAATCGTTTTCTATATTTATTTCGTATATCAGTATATTACACGTGTTACGTACCATAGGTAAGACAAATCTGTAAAAAGTTCGTAATTAGACGATATTTTATTAGAAAGTTCTTACTTGTATCGCACTATCGCAGAGACAATACCTAAACATGAGAATAGAGAATAAACATAATATTATAATCGTGCTGAGAAAAATCCCACTATACACAGCCAAGAAATTATTTGTTTTACAAAATACTTAAAATTAAAACTAATTAATTTAGTGTTGGATATATATACGTGGATTCTACGACTATGTATACATAAATTATTATAATATATGTAAATATGTTTATACTCAGAAGTCAGAGTACCTATATGAGGCCATATATGGGTCATTAAAAAGTATAAATAAAACGTAATTCTACGACAACAGTATAATACCACACGTATAGTG